GGTGGAAGGAGCCCAAGGAGGGAATGGATATATGCTGGCCCTGCTGAAGGAACTGCCTGCCCTCCCACACACAGATCCCGATTCCCAAGCCCAGCCAGAAGCCCCAGGCAAGTTCTGTCCACAGACACAGCCTGGAGGCAGCAGGGAACCCCCCAGAACTGAGCCACCATGGCAATCCCTAGTGCCTGGACCTATGTGAGCCTTGAGTTATAACTTACTGTCCCCCAAAGGTAATAGGCTACAAAATTATTTGGAATCTTGTTTTCTAATAGTGCAGCAGAGCAGTGTGTAAAATCAGAAATAATTTCAGTTATGAAATGAAGTAGCTACTTACACATTGGAGTTTAAGGGCCCTGGAGTAGCTGCTGAACCCATCCTCTGGATCCTCACCAGGCAGCCTACCTAGGACCACTCAGAATGCAAAAGATGTGCATTAAAAATGAAGCCAGGACCTCCTTCCTGAAAAACCCCACCCCGAATCCATAGTGAGAGTTCTGGAATGCAGAGGCAGCTTCCATGCCTCCCCCCACCCTACACACACACACACACACACACACACACACACCTTGCTTTGAGATCTCCTGGGATTCAGAGCTTCCTCAACACATGTCAAAGCTTTCTAGGAGTAGACACTGCAGGGAAGCAATCAGGAACTCACCCTCTCCATCCATCAGGAAAAAGCAATTTTTTGAATGTAGAGTTGGAGGTATCCCCCAGTACCTCCACATGAAACAGGTGATCCCTTCCAGCCATATCCTATCCTCCCTTGGAGCCAGGGTGGTCATGTCTTAAGGCTGGAGTCTCCTGGGGTTCCCCAGAGTCTGGATGCAGAACATCTAAACAGGCCACACTTGCTGCTAGGACTCCTGAGCTCGAGGGCTCAACAGCAACCAGCCCAGGCAGGCAGAGAATCTCCAAGTGGAGGCATGTGGACTGAGAAGGCAACTGGTCCAGTTAAGGCTCCTCATAGGTCAGAGGATAGAGCCCTGAATCCACTACCCTGCATGGAATTCATGAAGAGAAATTTTAGGGAGTTCATATGTTTGGGTGGGAAAAATGACTACTTTATTCCATTTGAACTGAAATCTAGTGTTTTCTTCTGCCATGAGACAATGAAGCACAGTGGAACTGTGACTGTGTCACCAATGGAAAACTCAGATATTTTCATCTCACTACCACTGGTGAAGATACCTCAAAATGTCACTTACTCTCATCACTATAGTGGCCCCCCTGTACGAGCAAGGAATATGTTTCAAGTCCCCTGGTGAATGCTTGCATCTGGAGAGTACTGAACCCTATATACCTTATGTTTTTTATATTCCTATTTTATACACCTATGATAATGTATTATTTATAAATTAGACATATAAGAGATTAATGGCAATAATTTATAAAATGGGACAATTGTAACAAGATGCTGTAACAAAAAAGTGATAGGAATGAGCTCTACTTCAAAATAACTCATTGTGCAGTACTCACCCTTCTTGGGATGGTATAAGATGACAGTGCCTATGTTTTGAGAATTGAAGTGAATGACATAGGTACTGTGGTGTAGACCTAGGCCACTATCAACCAATGATAAGTCAGAAGGACAATCATTGAATTAGTTGCCAGTTGACCACAGGTGACTGAAACCACAAAGAAAAACCAGGGAGAAGAAACTACTGTATTTTAACATCACTGTGACTACTTGGCCTGACACTGAAACGTACTGAGATTTGATACGTGAATAAAGAAGCCCATGTATCACTGTGAACCAGATTTGTTTTTAGTATTTTGACAGATGTGTTTCAATGCATTTCCTTTTTTACCCGTTACATTTTTTTTAACATATTTGAAAATATTATCCCAGCGTGGGGTATAGCTCAGTGATAGAGCACTTGTCTAGCATGCATGAGATTGAGCCCTGGGACCTGGACTCCGTCATTCCTGGGCTTCCTATTGAGAAATCAAGGGCACAATCCCCAGCTCTGCAAAAATAAATAAATAAGTAACAAAAATATTATTCTAACAAAAGTCCACAGGCTTCAGAACATCCATGGCTATAAAAAAAAAAACGTCAAAACCCCTGCCATGGAGAGACACATCTCCCCCCAGGAAAGAGAGAAGGAGTGGCCTCTAGTTAAGAAGAGTCCTCTTCAATCTTTGCAGAAATGGGCCAGGGAATCTTAGAAACCATTGTTCTGGGGCAGGGGCTGGGCAGACTTCCCAGAAAGGGACTTTATTCCATCTTGTCTTCTTTCTACTTTATTTTAACTTGTATTTTTGGCTTCAACTTCTGAACTTTTCCACTGTGCCCAGCATGCAACTTGGCAGAAGAGGGTTCCCAGCAGAGTAGAATAGAAGAGGAGAGTTTGACGGGCACTAGTCTGTGGCCTTCTGAATTGAGGTGTTAAGTGGTGGCCAGGGACCCACAGAGCAGCCCTCAGTTTCCCCATTGGAGGCCCAAGAATGATAGAACCCAAGTCCCAAGATTTTCCTGGACAGCAACCATATTATCTGTCCTTCAAGACTAGTGAGACAGGGTTTGAGCTCCTGGGCACAAACTACAGTGAACCCTCACTGCCTTCCCTGGGAAGCTAGTGGCTGACGGGAGGCCTTTAAAGTTCACAGCCTGGACCCCTGTTCAAGAGGAAGGGCAGGCAAAACTAGCAAACTCCCTCTGTCAGACATGCAGGGTGATTCCCCAATCTGACCTCTGCTGCTTCTACCAGATAACCAGTGTTTTCTTTCAGGGAGTGGACCTCCTCTAATTATAGCCACAGCTGTGATAGATGGGTCTGTACAAGATCTCAAAGTTCCACTTCAAGAGCATATAATTTTCTCCCTTGTCAACATTATCAACAAGGTTATCGTTAAGCTGCAGAGTCATGGGAGTATTGGAAGAGAGTACAGCCAGAAAATGCAGGGGTGTTAATTTCCCAATCTGGGACCCGTGGATGAAGATCTAGCCCACTCAGAGAGGTTTCTGAGGTCCTTGCTGAGTTGAGCCCCCACCCCCTGAAGTAGAGACCTCAAGAGCCCTCTCACTGTTCCCTTCCTCTAACCCCCTATGAAGTCCTCTCATAAATTAATGACCCAGACCCACATCCTTTGTCCCAGCTTCTTCTTTCAAGGAAACCTAAACTAAGACAAGTAGTATTGGAATTTCTAAGCTGGGCATAAAGGCTACATTTGTCAGCTGTGTATGTGGTCATGAGACTAAGTTTTGGCAGGTGGGATATGAAAAGAAGTGACTGTGAAACTTCCAGATAACCCAATTAACAGGAAGGGGTACCCCCTCTTCTTCCCCTCTACTGCTTCCTACTAACTGGAAAGCAGAAGTAGGAGTGAGCCAACCGTGGCCATGGGGACAAATATCTTTACCTCCTGGTATTCCCATTCCTGGGAATGGTTTCTCTGACCAATAGGACATAGCAGAAGGCTAGTCAGAAAAGGCACTCTAGCTATCTTAATCCTTTGGGTCCCTTGCTCTAGAGGAAGACAGCAGCCATGGTAGAAGGACACTCAAGCATCCCTGTGGAGAGCTCTAGGTGGCCTCCTGCCAATAGCCGTGGGATATGGTTTGAATATGAAGTGTCCACAAAGTTTCATGTGTTGGCTTTGTCCCCAGTGCAGCAGCAATGTTCACAAGTAAGGCTTTTGAAAGTTTATTGGATCATGAGAGTTCTGGCCTCTTCAGTAGATTAATCATTTGAATGGATTATTGAGAAGTGGGAAACTATAGGAGATAGATCCATTCTCATTCTCTGTCTCTCTGTCTCTCTGTCTCTCTGTCTCTCTCTCTGTCTCTCTCTCTCTCTACACACACACACACACACACACACACACACACACACACACACACTCTTCCTGGCAGCCATGAGCTGAGCAGCCTTCTTCTGCCACACTCTTTTTCCATGATGTTCTGCCTCATCTCAGGTTCATAACAATGTAACCAGCCAACTACGGACTGAACTCTCTTAAACCATGAGCCAAAATAAATCTGTTCTCCTTTAAGTTGCTCTCGTTAGGTATTTTGTTTACAGAAACAGAAAATCTGATTAATACATCTGAGCACATCACCTTGAAAATGGATCCTCAATCCAGTCAGTCCTTCAGAAGACTGCTAACTTGGTCATCTGATCGCAAACTCAAGAGAGGGTCTCAAACCAAAACTGTACAGCTGAATTGCTTCCAAAATCACAACCCACAGAAACCATAAGAGGCAAAAAAAATATATGATTTATTTAAACCATTAAGTTTTGGGGTACTTTGTTATCTTAGGTAACTGTTATGGGTTAAATTGTGATCCCTCCAATTGAATTCTAACCCTGCCCCCAACCTGTATCTAAGAATATGATGCCATTTGGAGATAGGGTCTTCAGAGAGGTAACTAAGTTAAAATGGGATAACGTGCCTTATGAAAAGGGGACAATAAGAGACAGGCAGATTTGCTAGGATGGCATGACACAGAACCACAGACTAGGGGGATTGAACAATGGAAATGTATTTTCTCACAATTTTAAAGGCTTGACATCTGAGATCAAAGTAGTGACAGAAGAGGTGGTTCTTCTGAGGGCTGTGAGGAGACCCTGCCCTATCCTTCTGGTCCTGTCTCATCCCAGGAAAAAAGCATAGGGGCAGAAAAAAACTGGCAAGTGACTTGGGCATGACAGGACCCAGGACAGGGAGGAAGTGAGAGAGACATAAGTAGCTGAGGCTATTTTTACCCAGACCTGTGCAAACAGAGGCGTGGGCTGGTCTGGCCAGTTTCTCCCTTCCCTGGCACCTGGCCTAGAAGTCCCTTTCCAGGTAGGCAGTGCCCACTGGGTCAGGAGCCAAAGAAGAGTGATGAGTAGAGAAAGGGCAGATGTGAGAACTGCTTCCCAGTCGCTCCGCAGACTCCCAGCCTTGAAGCCCTGGCTCCCCTCTGGGTGCTGTGGACCCAGGCTCCATGGCTGCCTGCTATGACCCAGCCCCACTCTGTGTCCTCCCCTGTCAGACAGTGCGAACTGGACTCAAGGTTAGGGGATCACCATGGGGTCAGAAGTCAGCTGGACTGAGGCCTGTGATCAGAGTCAAGGACATCCTGGGGTCACAGGTCACGCTGGGCTGAGGCCTATGATCAGGATCAGGGGCTAGTCTAGATTGAGATCTGTGATCAGGGTTAGAGGTCAGGCTGTGCTCAGGAATCAGCTTAGGGTCATGAGTAACTCTGGGTGGAGGCCCAGGATCAGAGGTCGGATGAGCCTAGGGTCACAGGAAAGGCTCAGCCAGGCCTAGAGTTAGAAATAGATTTAAGCAGAAAAGTCTCCTACCCTAGTCATTTCTCCTACTTCTCCAACCTTCCCTGACTCAGGGCCTATCATCTCTAGCAAAGGACCCCAAAGTCCTCCCAGAGAGGTGGTGGACGTGGATTCCAGCCCCAGGCATGACAAAGGCCCCCTGGGACCTGTGGGAAGGAAGGCATTCCCGGGAGAAGGAACTGGCCAGGCAAAGGTTCAGAGGCCTGAAAGGTAAAGCCCAGGCTGGGGTGCACAGAGGACTGCAGGCTCCAGGTGGGGAGAAGCCCCCCAAGGCCAAGGAAAGAAGGGCCTGGAGGAGTTATCCTCAGAGCTAAGTGAGAGGGCAGGGTGGGTCCTGGGTTTTAGGAAGATTCATTCATTCAGTAACATACAGAGGACTTACTGTGTGTCAGGTACCACTCCAGGAACCTGAGACATCCTGGGAATAAAAGGTGGTCCTGAATCCCTACCTTGTAGAGCTTATGTTCTAGTGGGGAAGAGAAATAAATAATGAATGTAATAAAGTGAACTCACAGATAATCAAGTGGCATGGTGCCTTAGAAGAGGATCAGAGCTTAAAAAATAAAATAAAATAAGTAAGGTGAGAGAGTTTAGGAGTCCAGGGGAGGGAGCAGTTTGCAGTTTACAGTATTAAGGTGAAGCCAGGGCTTCCGAAAAGAGGTAGGGAGCCACGGGATACCTGTGGGAGAGAGCACTCCAAGCAGAGAAGAAACACCATGCAGACCCAAAAGTAAGAGTTGGTCTAGGAATAAGTTCATGGGACAGCAGGAGATCAGTGTGACTGGAGGGGGAGCAGAAGACAAGAGAGGGAAAGGGAGTGACAGAGGGATCACTGGGGGTCTTTGTGCACTATAGAGCACCAAGATCTCACTGATGTTTTAAACTAAGCTCCGAGAGAAATGGCTTAAATAACACTGCAGGGATGCAGCCTGCAGAATCCCATTGTAGAATGCTAATGTAGGGGGCCAATGACCCCATTTTCTTCAAAAGAGAAAATGGAAGGAAAAGAGAGGCATAAGCAGAGAGATAAAGGGTAGTCTCTATATAAAATTCTAGTGTGTGGATCTTACTCCAACAAACTGGTTAAAAAAAATAAAAACATCATAAGTCAAGGAAGGAAAATTAAATAATGACATCATTTAATGCTCTTAAGGTGTGAAATGCTCTTAATGGGTGTGAAAAGGATCTTGTGTGTAATGATATTGTGGTTACTTTTTTTAAGCATCCTTAACCTTTAGAGGTCCATACTGAAATACAGAAAAAGTGACAGATCTGTAATTTGATTCAAAATGATCGTGATCGGGGAGGGGACAAGAAGAAACACACCGAGAGGTAGGTGGACAGGAGTTCATGATAGTGTTGTATTCACTTCATACATTTTGAGGTTTTTTTAATGAATTAAAAAATAATAATAGTCAATCCAAATGTTGAGCTTGGAGTGTGGGTGCCATGGAGAAGCCAGAGGTCCTCAGCAAGCTACTGGAGTGTGCAGGTGGCCTCAGATAAAGATGACCTGAGACAGAAAGCAAAGAATGGGAGGGGGACTGGGATAGGTTTGCAAGACAAGATGCTCCCTCCCTCCGCTTCCTCTGGCTCCCTCCTCCTCCCCTGCCCATTCCTTTCTTCCTTCCCAAATTTCCTTCCCTCCCCCTACCCCTCTATCCCATGCCTCCTCCCCACCCTTCTTCCCCCACCTCTCCTTCCTCATCTCTCTTCCTCAAAGCTCTATTCATCTTCAGCAAGTGTCACCCTGGCTTAGTTCCCAGTCTTGTACAGGTGGTCACACTCATCTGGGTTTTTCTCGGCAGCTAGGTTGCCAGGCAGCTCCAGTTTGATACACCCAGGCACTACCACCACTCCCCGCAGGCTCCTGCTGCTCTCTTTGCTGAGGGCTACCACCTCCATGTTTCCCCTCAAAAAAAGGAAACAGGGTGCTGCTGGAGTGCCTCTCCGTCCTCAGAGCAGGTATCACCTTAGCCTAAAGTGGTTCTGGGGGAAAGGTGAGGGTGGGTATGTGGGGGTAGCTGGTAAGGCCCAGATTTGCACTGAGAATATGGGACGGTCCTTGCCATTCTTCTCCCTAGAAATAATTCCTCTCTTGGGCAAATCATCTCTTACCACAGAGGGGGGTTGAGGCTGGGAGGAAAGCAGAAGCGGGCTCAAGACATTTCCCGTCCAGGCATTTGTTTTCAAGTGCCAAGCCTGGGAATTGGGAGGGAGGGAGGACTTCTTGATTCCTCCAGACTGCCTCCTGCACCTGCTCCCCACCTCAGGAAGAAACTGGAGGGTATACAGGAGGCTGAACCTTGAATGAGGCTCCACCAAGATTCCCAGGCCTCCAAAGCCTCAGCCCCTGGACTTGCCAGGACCACCCAGGCTGAGCTACTGTGGATCTTGGCACCAACCAACACAGCCCAACAATCCAGGGGAGGATGGAAAGTAGGGGTTTCCTAATGCCTTCCCAGCACAAACCACTCAAGGAGACAAAAAGGCTGAGTTTCTATTTCCTACCATCTGACGTAATGTCTTTATAGTCAAAACTAATTAAAATTCTAAAAAAATAATGATGAACATATTTCTTGAACTCCAGTCTGAGATTCCTACCCAAATGAAGAAAAGACTGGGAGAGAGACTGGGGGCTTCTGACTCACAGGGGCCCCCATATTGTAGACCACAGTCCCTGTCCAGTGGCAGCACACTAGCTCACCTTGCCACCTGTGGGTGGCCATCAGCGATTATCCTAGAGACAACCTTGCGATCCTAAAATGGCTTTGTGTCCATGAAGTGAGCAGACGCATGTTCCCAAAGATGTGAGAGGGAAAAGCATGGGGCTGGGACTCTGATGGCAATCAGAGTAATAAATGAGACAAGAAGGAGCATTTCATTATTTGCCTGTGGCCACAGTCAGGCCCCAGGAACTCCAAGGCCTCTTTGCAGGACACATGGTCCTGAGGGTGTAGGACAAAGGCAGAACCTGAATCAGGCTCTCCCAACTTAGTCCAGGTCTCTTGCTTTTTCTCCCAGTCTTCCAGCCATTGGCTTGGTCCCGGTCCTAGAACCCATCCTTCACTCTGGAAAACAAAATCACACTGTGACTGCTGAAAAAGCCCCAGGTAAAATCCTAGGTCCTACTGATGGGTAAAAAGGAAGTCAAGTGGCAGCTCCCACCTCTACCCTGCAAGGACCAGAGCAAAGACTCTGCCTGCTATTTCCCAGGGCTGGGCTGGGTTCTACCCTCTCTGTGATGGAAGAAGCCCAGACTCTGAGGCCCTCCCTTTTTGAGAACATCTGGTTTATCAAGAGCAACCTTCATGCTATCAGTCAGGGTCCTCTTCTGCAGGGTTTTACCACTTGCAGGTAAAATTTGCCTTATACCCCTCCTTGCCTGGGTGCCCTCACCTCAATAGACAGTGGCCAGCAACACGCTCCCTCAGCAAGTGTTTCATACATGCTGTCCCCATGGTTTGTCTCCCTTGCCTCAGCTCAGGAAGTGAGTTTTGTTGACCTTGTTGTTTCATTTTTACTGTGAAGTAGATGTTAATTAAATTATGTGTTAAATTCATGAATTTATTAGTATGCTTTAAATTGTAAAATGGAGTCACAGTTTTCTCTTCTTGGGCTAGCCTTTGTTTTATCATGATTATCATGGCAACTCATGGAACATGCTGGTAAACACAACCTCTTCTTTACTATTCTGGAGCAGTTTATAGGAATTATCCACCCATTCAAGGTTAATAGACTTTTCCTACAAAACTATCTTGAGTTTAGTTTTAGGGATAATTTTAATGATTTCTATTTCTTTGGAAAATCACCCATTTCACCTAGGTGTCCAAATAATATATTGGAATAAAAAGAGTATCTTTTTGTAGTTTTAAAATACTCGATTCCTGGAACTATGTCCCTTTTTCTTATGTTTCCACTTTTATTCTTGATCATATTTGCTAACCCTTTGTCTCTTCAAAGGTCTTCTGTCCAGGAAAAATTTTATTTCAGTCATTCATTGAATATTTTATTTTTATTTCAGTACTTTATCTTTAGCAATTTCTTTTTCTTTCCTTGGACTTAATTTATTGTTTCTTTATAGTTTGTGGTGTTGTTTTTGGCTGGTTGGTTGGTTGGTTGGGTTTTTTGTTTGTTTTTTTGTTTGTTTTTTTACCAGAGATTGAACCCAGGGGCACTTAATCACCAAACCGCATCCTTTTCTTTTATTTATTTATTTATTTGTTTATTTATTTATATTTTTTGAGACAAGGTGTCTCTAAGTTACCTAAGGCCTTGATAAATTGCCAAGGTTGGCTTTGAACTCACAACCCTGCCTGGCTCTTTTTTACTATTTTTAGTTGTAAACTTTTTAAGTGTTTTTTTTAATGTATGAAATTAAAGCTAAAACTTTTCTCTAATTATATAATATCCAGACCACTTGGTTTTTAATATTCATTGGTATTTAGAGGAATTATAGATTAATTTATAATTTCATTTGTATTCCTTTCTTTTAAAAAAATATTTTTAGTTGTAAATGAACACATTTATTTTTATGTGGTGCTGAGAATCGAACCAAGTGTTTCATCCATGCTAGGCAAGCACTCTACCACTGAGCTACAGCCCCCAGTTTTTATTCCTTTAATACAAAAGTTACTTAGTGGCAGGTGGGGGGATTAAACTTCTTGTGTTGATGTGTGAAATATTTCCAAACATACAAAAGAATAAGAAAATCAGATCCACTGTATCTACCACCTAGTCCCATTAGAAATATAATGCCATATTTGCTGTAGATATATTTTTTTAAATAAGTCAGTGTTATTGGAGACCCACTGTGTATCCTTTCCTATGGTTAATAGAATTCTAAGATAGTGTCCAAGATTCCTGTAGTTGGGGGGAGCTGTATAATCCCCTCCCCTTGAGTATAGGGGGTGCTGACTTGATCAGGTGAGCCTTTCTTGAAGAGATCTAAAGTCTGGAAACAGAAATCAGAGAGGTTCAAAGATACAATGTGTGCTGTCTTACTGGCCTGGTAAACACAAACACCTATGGAGAGGGTCATGGGGCTGGGACCTGAAGTCTGCCTCTAAGAGCTTAAAAAAAAAAAAAAAAGAGAGAGTCCTACTGCTCCAAGGAACTGAATTCTGCCAACAACCTGAATGAACTTGAAAGAGGACCCTGAGTTCCATATAAAACTATAGCTCTGGTCAAAACCTTGGTAGAGGACCCAGCTAACCCACATGTGGACATCTGACTACAGAAAATATGAGATGATAAATGAATATTGCTTCAAGCTGCTAAATGTGTGGTAATTTGTTACACAGCAATTAAAAATAAATATACTTTATTCCTTTCCCTTCCCTCTTTATGCAAAGGTAACCACTAATGTGGCTTGGGTGTTTACCATGCCTGAACACTATTTATACCTTCACTATATTATGATGTGTCCATAAAAGTTATTTAGTATTGTTTTCAGAATTTTAAATCTACCTAAGTAACATTGTAACATACATATCATTCTGCAACCTGCTTTGGTTGTTCAACAGCTTATTTTAGTTATGCACACCTCTATTGAGAGATGTGTGGCTCTTGTCCATTTATTTTAATGGCTGAATAGAATTCCTGAGAGAAGCATTGTAGACTTGACAGTTCTTCCCTTTTAAAATACCTGTTTTATATGCCTTGAGGCTATTTCATTCAATGCATAGATGTTTGGGGTTACCTTCTTGATAGACTGAATGTTCTAATAATATGAATTGTCCTCTTTGTGGTTTTTTTTGTTTTGTTTTGTTTTGTTTTCCACCTTAAATTCTCATTTACTCAAGATCATTATACTGCCATGTGTAACTAATTAAAACAAATTTTTAAAATTCTCATTTACTTTGACTATGATAATTAATGTTTACAGTTATTCTTGATGTCTGCTTTTATGCTTCTATATATCATGTATTCTTGGTTATCCTCCCATACACACAACCTTTTATTGGATTGTTGGTACTTTCTTAAGTTTCATTTTTTTTCTTTTGGTTATTTGGGAGTTACATGGAGATTGCCATTTTTTTCACATGTATACGAATTTTTAACTCACACGAATCTCTGGTGGCATTATGTTTATTTAAAGTCAATGTCTATTTTGTCATATTCACATTATGTCTCTCTTCCAAATCTCTGCCCAAGGTCAATGACATACCAATTCAGGAAGACAGGCCTTGGAGTAGGGAAGTGAATATGAGAACTTTGAGCTTCCCTGTGGAGTCATTCTGAGCTTTCCCTATGGTTGAACATGTCATTCCCCATGGAATCTACTGCCCCAGAAATGAGCTCTGAGAAACAGTCTGGAGATGTCTGTGGTCCTGGGCACCATCTCTGAGATTCATCCCTCTCTGACCCTAGCTTTCCCCAGCTCTACTCTCCTGGGAACCAGCCAAGCCCTACTTTGACTCCCACCTGGGAACAGATGAATCCGTACAGACCCATGCCCATACACAAGGACACATACAGACACGGACACATATGGACAGGCATACACGTGCACTCATGCATGCACACACACACATGCATACACATACTCGTACCTGCTGCAGTAAGCATTTGGCCAGAGTCTGTGGATGTCATTGGAGAGTAAATGGGAGGGAGCAGTCCCTCCCTCTTCAGTCTCCCAGACTCACGGCACCATGACTCTCATGCCAAGCTGCCTGGTGATAGACTGCTGACCCCTGAACCAAACTGAGCCCAGGATTGTGAGGAAAGGAATTCTCAGGTCATTCTTCTCTGTGCCTAGACTAAGAGCTCCCAAGGGCAGACCAAGTTCTCCTCTTTCTTTATCCCCTAGAGCAGGACAGAATCTCCCCTCCCTGTTTCATTTCCCAAGCCTCAGTTTCCCCACTGTAGGATTTCCTGTGCCATTTAGCCATAGGGCATGCCATGTGACAGCCTTAGCTCTATTACCTTCAGGGCCTACCACAGCATTTAAACCATGACTATGTTCTTCTTGACAACCCCAACCATTGACCAAGTACAGTAGAGTGACTAAGGCTTCTATGTGCAATCTTTGTTCAGGGACTCACAACTGGGTTGGCAGAAATTTACTTTCAGATCTGTACAACAGTCCAAGGATCTCTCTGCCCAATTCTTCTTTCTTCTCTATCTTTCATAGGGTCCCCCTGCCATCCAATAAACTTCCAGGACAAGCTCCCAGGACAAGCTAAACTGAGGCACCTATAGTTGACACTCCCTTTCCCCCACACATCTCTAAGCCCCATTCTTCAGGATCAATGATTGGCCTTTCCAGAACTGGTCCCTGGGCTTTATTTCTGTATCTGGCAGTCTGAACAATTCTTTCTTTATCACCTGTACTTCATGAACTTTGTTTTCTTCCTAAATGCACTTTTAGCAATAGCAAGAGTTCCTCCCTAACCCCTGCCCAAGCAATGCTAGAATCTCCTGACGGGGATGTGCCTAAGTGATTCTCAAATCCCTAGCCCCATCACAAGGCCAGACCAGGATAGGTGATATGTGAGAGGTGAATGAATGAACAAAATCCATGCTATTACCAAAGGGATCTCCTACCCGCCACTAAATCACAAGTTGGAGTTAAAATACACCTACACACAGAAAGAAATGGCCCCCAAAATAAGGAACAGCCTGGGGAGGTAGTAAGCACCCCATAACCCTGGAGCTGCCAGACCCATTCCATGAATATAGGCTTTAAGGTGTTGGTCCAGAAATCCAGAGAAGGCAAAGCTTGCCTGTATCCTAACAGTAATGTGAATGGAGAATCCTGGAGTGGTGACTCCCCCTGGTCAGGTCATTTCCTCTGACCTTCATTATGCAGGTCAAGGCCACTCTAGGTCCCCACCCTTCTCACTCTACTGAAGAACCTTGCCACCTTTGAGTTCCTATGCAGGATCTTTAAGACAGTGTGTGCATGATTCTGAGAGGGGCTGAAGGACTGGAGGAGGCGAGGGTGGCACACACTGCAGGGATGAGGCAGGCAGGAAGCCAGGCAGGCTCCCAATGAGTAACTGCAGATTCCCTTGTGCTGTGCCTGTTGTCACGGGGGATGGCAAGTGATTCTGTCTCCATCTCTTTTCCCCCACTTCCTGCATCCTCTGAACCCCTGTGATTCTGAAAAGCAGGAGGGAGGCGGGAGCTTGAACCAAAGTCTGGGGGGAAATGCCAGGAATCCAGGTGGGGAGAACTCTGAACAAAACACTCAGAAAATGCAGAAGGACCCGGGGACTGGGAGCAGGACGTGTCTGTGGCCCACCTCCCCTGTCTGTACTGTAAGGCCACTAGAGGAGCTCAGACTTGGCACAGTGTAGGGAGGTAGGGAACAGACATCCCACGTAACTACTTCCACTCCCTGTAGCCTGTCTCTCCCACCTCCACTTCCTCCCCTCTCAGAAGCCTCCTCGGGTCACCTGAGTAAGCAAAAAATGGCTTCCTCATCAGAACTCCCCAAGAGTGAGTCCATGTTTGGTTTCCCCAGTGTCTGAGAACACAGGACAAGACATTTTGGAGCAATTAGTTGAAGCATGGTCAAGTTTAGCCTTGGTTGAATTTTTTTAGGTTTTTGTTTATTTCTGCTATTTTCTCTTCTCTGCTCTTTTCACTTCTGAATATGTTTTGGGACCTCAGACAGGTAAGGAAGGGTGGATCCCCCAGAGGAACAATTCTGAAAGAACAAAGAAATGATTTTCATTGCAAAGAATCTACTGCAAAACTATTCTCCCTGAGTCACTTTCCCTTTCCTGGGAGGAGAACTACAAGGACACAAGGAGGCACTATTAGTCTCCCTCTCTGCTCCAGCCCAGCCATCCAGCCCTCAATTGAAGAGGGGATTCGTGTAGACAGGCTATCCCGTTCTCACTGATGACCTTAAGATTCTCTCTCTCTCCCTTCTTACCCTGTCCAACAGCCACCTGGTAACAGTCACATGGCAAAGTGGGATCCCTCCTATTCCCCAGTCCTCATCCCTCTCAGTACTCTCTCAAGTACCTGAGAACACTGATCTCAGAGAGAACAGGAGAACTTCAACAGGCCAGGAGGATATCACAGCACCAGTGAGATACCAGCATCCTGCAGCTGGCTAGGCAATGTGTGTGTGAAAGGGGTGGTGGTGGTTATGAGAGCCAAGATGCACAGATTCGCTGTTCACATTAAGGGCTCCTGGGTGCCGCACCAGCGGAGGTGATTCCTCAGAATAAAGACATGATTCAACTGCCCTGCTGGGTACTGAAGCATGAAAGGTGGTACACAGGATCATAAGCAGAAGCTAAGTCCTGAGCAAACAGTGTTGCCCCCCAGGAGTACTGACAGTTGAGGAACTGGCCAGCCATCATTCAAACACTCCCCTCACTGAGTGGTTGGGTCCAAACCCCAGAAAGACCAGAGCAGAGGCACTTCCAGTCCCCACATGTTGGGAAGCTCCCTGATTAATGAAAAGGAGGTGGAAACTGTAGGGAGAGCAATAACTACCCAGGTCCTCCTCTGTTAAGGGAGGGCCTCAGACGTATCCACCTCTATGCCACCAGTGCATAGCACAGGATCCAGGGCATAGCCAGTGGTTCATAGAGGACCATTGAAAGAAGGTCGACAAAAGAGGGGAGAGGAGGAGGTGAGGGGTGACGGAATGCTGGAAGAGAGAAAGGAGGGAAAGTAGACAGCCAGGGTACACCACAAGTAAGAGGAACCCAGGAGGGGCCAGAGTGCTCATTCTTTACCGGCTCTCCTCAAGCCCACCCCAACAGCAGTCAGGAACTGGAGCTTCCTGCGCTGTAAGGAGGGAAACCCCAGCAGGTCCTCAGAAACTCCAGGGCACCTGCTGGTCAGCAGACGCCTGGAATCAGATTTCGTGCAAGCCGCTGCAAGCTCTGCTTCCTGAGTGTAGACGCGCAGCCCTCTCGGTCTCTCCACCGGACACAGCCACTCCTTCTATTCATGTTGATCCACTCCCCTCCGCCCATCCTGGCCGCTGTCACCACACCTCTAGTCTCTATGGTGCTAGATCGAGCCCTCGGAAAGAGGCAAGGCAGCCATCTGAGTTTGTTTCATAAGAAGACGCGCTCAGAGGGCGCCCCACTCTAGAGGCGAATAAACAGAGCTCGAAGCACCGGCTGTGGAGAGAGGCCAACTCGAAATCACCCAGCGACCCACGGGCCTGGAAGCGCAGCGCCAGAGGCAGGCAGCCGAGTACTGGACCCTCTCTGGACCTCAGTCTCTCCAGCTGTAAAATAAAGAAGGCGGGATGAGGACAAGGTTTCTTGGTTCCTTTTAGGTCAACCGCAGTTCCCGGGCCCGAGAGCTGGGAACAGACCTTCCCTCCCCGCGCGAGGGCGCTGGAACTTCGGCCCAGCCTCCCTTGGGAGGTGCCCGAGCCGAGACGCACGAGGGTGCGGACGCTCCCATCTCCCTGGAGCAGGGCCCCTCGGGGTATAAAAGGCCAGGGCCTTCTGCCAGTGCAGAGCACGTCCCGCCAGTTGACCCCAAAACAGGAACGTCACCGAAGATCATCGGGCATCTTTTGCCGCTCGCTTGCCCTCGCCCAGCGCGACAGAGAACATCGGTCAGTTGAAAATGTACCAAACAACGAGTCCCACCTACCCCCGGTCGCTGCCAGCCCTGAACCCAATGCGGGCCCCAGCCCTCGGCCTGGGAAAATAAGTGGCACTTCCTGTCTTGTAATCCGTTTCACGTTCCAGAGACCAAAGATGCGCAAAAGTGGGAAATAGGGAGGCTGGCGGGGAGGCCTCCTGGAGAAGGTGGCTCCAAAGGCAGACGTGAAGCGCTCTGGAGTAGAACTGAGGGGGTGGACGGAGGTGGGACACCGCATCCCGGAGCTCGGGGAAGTCGTGAGCCAAGCAAGGAAGAATGGGGCGTGCTGGGGTCTTGAGAATCCCCGGAGATGAGCCCGGAGGGGCGAAAGCTTATGAATGCCTCACGACGAAAAAGTGACGCGTAGGATTGGAAGAGGAAGCTCCGGGGACTCCCCACTTTCGGGGGCGCCCCAGCCCCGCCCCATACCTGCGCGCCGGCCCCGCCTCCACTGATCCATTGGCTAGACCCGCCGCCCGTCAGACGAGCCCCCGCGGCCCGCCCCCAGCCCCAGAGCAGCGCCTCTTAGAGCTGGGGCCACTGTGCCAGCGCCACTCTGTCAGGCTGCGGGCCATCTTCCGAGCTACGCCGTCCGCCAACCTCTTACCCGCGACCGGCCGCCCGCCGCGGGTTCAGGGCGGACCATGCGCCCGCCGAGCCCGCCGCCCGCCCGCTGGCTCTGCGTGTTGGCAGGAGCCCTCGCCTGCGCCCTCGGCCCCGCGGTAAGTGTCTGCCCAGCTGCCCAGATTCCCCGCACTTGGGGGTGCAGTGGGGGCGGCGGGAGCCGGGCCATCTGTGCGCGCGTCTGGGTAAGGCCGATGAGGGGCACCCGGTGAGGAATAAGGCGCACAAAGCTCCAGGTTCTCGCCTCCTCCCTCAACCCCCAACCGGATCTAGACCCGAGAGGTGGGGTCTAGTTTGTGCCCAGTCCTTCCCAGCGCAGCCCAGAACCCGCACAGTGAGGTGATCCCGGGATTGATAGACAGACTGGGAAGAAGAGAGGGCCCGGAACTTGCCTTCTGAGTGCATGGTGTGCGCGGAGTAAAGAGAGAGAGTGGCAGAGTCGGTGCTGTGGTGGGTTGAGATGGAAGATCTGATAGACTGCGGGTGGGAGACCGTGAGGGTTGTTCTCTGTGTGGTGCCGGAGTAGAGGTGTCCCAGGGACGTTGTGGCTACGTTTGGGATGAGGTCTCAGCAGCAGATCCCAGCGTTGGAGCCCAGGTCCTGGGAAGGGACTCTTAGGATCAGGTGGGTGACAGGCAGACGACGAGAGCAGGAAAATACTGGAGTCCAAGGAGGATGGTGGTGAGCAGTGAGGGTGTAGGGGTGGTTTTTAACAGGAGGGACCAGTCATATGCATGGGGAGAGCTGATCAGGGAGCCAATGGCCAACAAGCTGTGGTTTCCCTCTCTTCCTCCTACTTCTGCTTCCTCCAGACAAGCTTATGTATGCCCCTGACCCATGTATACCCCTGTGCCCCACTTGCGGGTGTGCTCACGCGTGGCTGTGGATGGCTCTTCAAGGCCACAGGGCAGATGCTGGATCATCTCCCCAAGAACAACAAAATCCTCAAGACTCACTGAGTCTACCCAAGCCCATTTGTAAAATGGGCAAAGTGAAGCTCAAGAGACGTCAGAGCCACACATTTTCCCCACCAATCAGAACTGGACAGAGGATGTTTTGGTTTTTTTGTTTTTGTTTTTGTTTTTGTTTTTCCCTACATCTACCCGATCCCTTGAGGAACCTAGAGTTGCTGCTGGAGCAGGACCTACAATGCAAGAGAACTCCAGTTCTGGAACCAGCTCCAGTTTGGCTGTGGGAGGGTGGGTGATTTTGATTATGGAATCCCTTCTGTCCCATGATCTCTAACCACCCTCTCCCATGGCAGGAATCTGATTTTCTACCTAGTTGGTGTGTTGCATACCTTGGGGACGGGAAGCTCATTAGCTGGCCTTAAGCCCCTGCCCCTCACACTGATAGACATGAGACCCACCTTCTAAGCTTTCCAAGCTTCACCAAGCTCACAGAGGCTACCCCAACAGGCTACTCCAACAACCCTCTGGTTCTCACATCTGGTTCTCACACCCTCTGGTTCTCATTCCAGCCACTTCAAAATCTTTTTGGATGAGCCAGGGATCTTGGGCTACCATTGGCAACACATTCCTTCATCCTTGGAAGTTTCTGTGCCCTGAGACACAATGTTTTCAGAGAAGCCTGCCTCTCACACCAGACCACATCTGCCCTCTGCATCCTGAGACAACCCAAACCAGGCTCCTCCAATTCTCATTCTTTTCTCTTTCCACTACTTATTTGGTGCCCAAGCCTAGCACTCCTCAGAGGACCTTCTCCGATTTCTCTGGCCTACTCAGCCTCCCCCAGCTACCCTTCAGGCTTACTCACCTCCCAGCCCAGGCTGTTCTGCCCATCCCCCAGGATTAGGGACAGGGTGTCTCACTCTCCCCTGTTCCTCACAGCCCAGACCAGGACTGGGTCCACAGGGCAAGGAGAAGCCAAAAGTGGTTGAGGGTGGGCTGGAGTAAGAGGTTCCCATTTCTCTCTCTGCTTCTCCCTCCATACTTGCTCCCTCATGGAATGGACACTAGGTAATTCTGCTCCAGTCGGACTAGGGAAGGGGGGGGGGGATGGGGAGAAGTTATCAGAGTCATAAAATGGCAGCTGCAAAGTTCAGTTTGAAATCCCAAAGCCTTATCACTCCTGTTTATGGCGCCCTGACCTCAGCCTGGGGAAGGGAAATCTCTGAACAGGGAAGCAAAAAAAGGAAAGAAAACCTCTAGTGTCTCAGAGGAGGAAGTCTGCCCCAAGGCCACCCGTCAAGCCTTCCACTGCTCCTGCCCCCTGGACAGCAGACGCCGGGCTCCTCCCTCAGAAGCAGAGCTGCCCAGGGCAATGCCAGCACAAGACTGGGGCAGGGGCCCAGATCCTACCCTGGGAAGGTTCTCAGAACCTGGAAGGTTCTCACCCTCCTGGGTGGGGAACCCAGGAGGAAGGGTCCTGGGGTTTTGCCTCTCAGAACTGGGGGCAGAGACGCTGAGAGGGTAGTCAGGGAAGGCTCTCTGGAGGAAGCAGGACAATGTCCTGAAGAGTTTAACTAAATGAATCAACCTTCTACCCCAGACCATAAAACATCCTCTCTTGCCTGATCCCAGAAGGAAGAGGACTCCCCTAGCTCCCTTCAGTGTGGGATAGCCAGGGGTTTAGGGAAAGCATGGCTCCTCTATCTGCTGAGGCAGGGGACTGGCCACCTGCTCTGGGGACATCATTTTGTCCTAGGCATTCTGCCCTGGCCACCTGCTTCCAAACCCTACAGGGCTATCCACAGCTGCCCTGGCCTCTTGGCCCCCAGCAGGCCACCCTGTGGGCTTTAGGAAACATGGCTACACCCTGTCTCTAAATAATATACAAAAATAGGGGGCTGGGGATGTGGCTCAGTGATTAAGCACCCCTGGGTTCAATCTCTGGTACAAGAGTGGGGGTGGGGGTGGGGGTGGGGGACATGACTGCAGCTGAATCAGGTCCCTGCCCCCTGGAGGGAAGTGACACCTTGATTAGGCCTGCTCAGAGATTCCAGGGGGCTATGCTAGAAGAAGAAGCTATTCTTGGAAGTTTTCATCCTCCCATCCTGGTGCCCTGTGATTCAGCCTTCCCTGAAGTTTCTGGGGATTCCATGGGGAGCCCCTATTAGGGACTAAAAACCTAGTCCATAAACCATCCATAGCAAGGGCCAGTTGACCTGGGAAACATTTTTAATCTCTGCAGGTGGTCCTCTGTTTCCTCATCTCAAAAGAGAAGGCAAGAACCATTGGTTCAATGTGCAGGAAAAATGGGAAGACAGGGCTGGGATAGAGCCAGCTCCCCCTCCTGACTGGGGCATCTTCCCTGAGCCCCAGACCCTCTGTGAAACACGGCTGGGCATCCATTAGGACCTTTATGAGCTTCAAAGGAGGTAAAGGTGGCAAAAGTGCTGTGTTATCTGTGACAGGGATCTCAGGGATGGTGCTGATCCCCAGCTAGGGAGACCTAGGGACCCTTATCCAAGGTAGCCAGGAGATCTGGGAATGGGGGATGTGGCCTCATGAGGTGGCCAATCTGGGGGTGAAGCTCCAGCTCCAGGTAGATGATGGGTCCTCTCAGAGAGGGCTGGGTGGTGGGTAATGCATACTGTGGGGCAGCCTCAGTGGCAATCCAAACTGGGTCATAACATCAACATAGGACCTCTAGCCTGCCACCCTCCTGCCATTGTTGAGCCCCTACGGTGGCCCCTCTGGCCATGGATGAGAATGAACAAAGCCTAGAGACTAAAGGAAACCCTACTCTTTTCTCAGTCTCCCAGAATCTACCCTCCTGTTTGAATTCCCAGTACAAGGTATTCATTCATTGTGCCCAGCAAAATTGCACTATGTCTACACCCCCTCTTGTACCTTAAGTACTTAAGAAGTACTTTAGAAATTTTTCTGAAGGAGAAAAAAAATTAATCTCCCTACTACATGTATGAGTTTTGGTTTTTATTGTTGTTTTAGTATTAGGGATTGAACCAAGGACTTCCAAATTCTGGGCTTTATCAGTAAGCTACACCACCAGTCTTTTTATTTTTTATTTTGATACAGGATTCTCACTAACTTACTCAGGCTGGCCTTGATCCTCCTGCCTCAGCCTCCTAAGTAGCTGGGATTATAGGTGTGTGCTACCATGTCCAGCTGCCTTTTTAAAAAAAAAAAAAAGAAGAAGAAGAAGAAGAAGTTTTATTTCTTTGCTAGCAAAGGGAAGCACAGGGGACTCCTGTCCCAGAGGTTGTGATTCTGCCCATGGGGGAACAGGGGACTTGTAAAGAGGTGATTCAAAGGCTACATTCCATGCATTCTCTGTATGGAGTTGTAATTCACTTGTTAATTTGGGAGATTGTCATTTCTGAGATCTTCTGGTACCATCCCCAAAGACTAGATTTTTGTGTGTGTGGGTTACTGGGGGTCAAACTCAGAGGTGCTTGACCACTGAGCCATATCCCCAGCCTATTTTGTAGAGACAGGGTCTCACTGAGTTGCTAAGCCCCTCTCTGTTGCTGAGGCTGGCTTTGAACTCAAGATCTTCCTGCCTCAGCCTCCTGAGCCTCTGGGATTATAGGCACACGCCACCACGCCCAGCTGCTTTTTTTTTTTTTTCCATTTTTACTGTGGAAATTTTCCAAGGTATGAACAAGTAGAAAGAATGGTATAATGAGCATGCAAATACTTGCTAGGTTTGACATTTATTAGCATATAACAATATTTGCATCATTTGCTTTTCTTCCTAAGTATATTTAGTCAATTGTAGACATCCTGACCTTGAACCCCATATTATTTT